TGGCCTTTTATCCTGTGTAGTGACCACAACTACATGTGATGGTGAGGCAGTATAACTAGGGTGAGGTTGTAGGGAATGTAGAAATGTATTTTAAAATGATAATATTAAGCTGGGTACAAGAGGCAATACAGAACCAGGAAATGAAGCTCAAAAATCAGCAAACAGCAAGCAATTGAATCAACTATTTGGGAATATACAGACTCACAATCTTCCCATCGTTCTCCCTTCCCTCTTAGATGCTAAGTGAGATACAATGCCATTAGGTGAGCAGCTGGGTTTGACAATAGAAAGTGCATGATTTTTGTAACTTCATGACCTGGAATACTTTAAACAAAAAACGAAACAGACCACATGGAACAGATACTCATGTCACAAGACCCTTTGTTTGTAAGGCCAACTCACACCCTTTATCTCCATGTTTGGGTGATAGCATCAAAACAGGATAATTGGAAGTTGGTAAGTGATCATACATTTAGGGGACCAATTTCAAATGGGATCCCCACAGCCCACTTAGGGACGTGAATACCCCTGGGTTGAAGACTGCCCACTGAGCCTCAGCTCCCAACTTCTGACTGCAGAAGATTCTGGCTTCTCTCTCTCTCTTTTTTTTTTACCTGCCTTTGTCTTCCTACAAATAAAGCTCTTCTGGCCTGCTACCTTGTGTGCCTCCTTCATGGATTACTTCAAAATTCATTTCACCTGTGTTCCAGTTCGTGGGGTTCTTGGTGGGCTTAGAAATTTGAGTAGAAAGTTCCCCTCTTCTATTAGGGAAATCTTCTCTCCTCTTAATACCCTCCTAGTGACAGGGGAAGGACAAAGGTGAAGGAGGTGAGACAGGAAGTGTTGCTGTACACAGATATGTTTATAACCAACAGAGTTATTCTCATAATGTGAGCAGGTTATGGGAAATGAGCTGACATCCGTTAAACCACATACTTTCTGGTGAAGCGAAAAAAATCATCTTCTGGTCTCTCGCTACCACATAAGTTCTAACGAAGTAGTACAGATATTTGTATAGGGTGTGAAAAGGGAGTTGTATGTTGAAAAAAATCAAATTGTGTAGCAGAAAGAGAAAATGAAGAAAGGAGCAGAAATTGTTGAAAACCAAACTGTTGTATAGTGTTGCCAAAGGGTTTTTTAAAATACCTGTTTCGAGATTAACCATATTTGGAAGTTTCTGTTACCATTATCTCAATTATTGAATGCAAATTCATGGAATCCTTTAATGTACACTGCTGTACATGAGAAGGTGGGGAAGGTTTGGAAGATTGATAATGGAGGACTGTGGTTTGTGAGGATGTGTGCCTCAGGACCACCTGGTTCCTTGGTGATTCTGTGCTAGGTGGTGAATAAGGCTATCAAATTTACTCATAAAGGTCTCCAACTCAACATTTTGCTAATTAAACTAGGGAATCAAGATCATGGAAGAAATAGTTTTTCCAGGGGTCCTGCCCAGTCTCATCCACTAAAACTCCCTGCACAGCAGGCAGAGAGTCCCTCTGATCTCTCAGGTGTATAGAATGTGCCGATGTCAGATTATGGCAACAATAATGCAGAGCTCTAGAGGGAGAAATGGACAGCTAATATTGTGAGATTCTTCATGTTGTATGTGGAGTGATTTAATAGGACTTGTAGCTAGACTGTGGTAAATTAAAGAGGTATACTACAAATCTCAAAGCAACCACTAAAAAGTGAACAAAACAGACTTATCACTAATAAGACACAAAAGAGATACAAATAAAAATTCAACCTAAAAGAAGGAAGAAAAATAGGGAATGGGAACAAATTACAGACTGGACAAATAGAAAACCAATAGCAAGATGATAGATTTGAGCCCAACTGTATCATTAACTGCATGAAGTGTAAAAAAATATGAATATCCAAGTTAAAAGTAAATACAACTATATGCTATGTACAATAAATCCATTCTAACTATTAAGAAACATAGACTAAAAGTAAAAGAATAGAAAAGCATATACCATTCTAATAATATCAAAAGAAATCTGGAGGAGCTGGGATGTAGCTCAGTGATAGCACTGATAGCACTTGTTAGCACTTGATTAACAAGTGTCAGGTCTGGACTCAACCCCCAGCACTGAGAAAAAAAGAAAAAAAGGAGAGGGGGAGAGAGAGAGAGAGACAGAGACAGAAAGAGAGAAAGAGAGAGAAAGAAGAGAGAAAACAAATCTGGAGTTGTTATACTAATATCAGACCAAGTAGATTTCAAAGTAACCAACATTATTGGGATGTAATGACAAAGAAATCAATTATTCATGAGGACATAACAATCCTAATCTGTTTTTGTTTTATTTCAAAAATAGAAATCAAAAGACCTGCAAGAAGAAATAGAGAAATCCACATTTACAGTCAGAGATTTCAATACTCCTCTCTCAAACAAATGCAATAAGTATGCAGGCAACTTATCACACTGTCACCCCATCAATCTAATTGATATTTATAGAATGTTCTATTCACAATAGCAGACTACCCACTATTTTCCAGTGTCCATGAAATATTTACTGAGCTAGACCACACTATAGGCAACAAAAAAATCTCAATAAAAACATTCAAGTAATACAAAGTATGAGCTTTGATAACAAGTAAGTTAGAAGTCAATAATAGAAATATATCTGGAAATCTCCAGTACCTATATTAGGAATCTGAATAACCTGTGGTGTAAAGGAAAAATGAAAAAGGAAATTAAAGAAATATTCTCAGAGAAATCTCTATCTTGTCTCTTATGTCTCTTTAGACTTGGTAGTATAAGAAAAATGATCTTTCCTATCAAAGTATTTGTTACCCTCTTAGATTACTTAAAAATTCCTCAGGTCACCATCTTAGGTGACTTGCATGTTTAAAGGGTCCTTGCTTCTTCATCCTGATTCCCGTACAACTCCATTTCCCACCAACCTGCATGCCCTAACCCATCCCCCTAGCCTTTTAGCCAATTGGGAAAGACTGTGAACCTTTGACCTTGGCAAATCCCAAGTGAGGGGCAGGTACAACTGCGTCAGGGGTATAAGGAGGAGCCACTGTCAGCCATTTTGTGCTTGCGTGCTTGCTTAGCTGCAGTGAGCACATGCTTGCACCCTCTTGATCAAGAGAAATTTCCTTGTCAAGATTTTCTGTCCCTTGTGTGTCTGTTTTCAGCACCAGAAGGTCTTTAATTCCAACAGTAAAAAGTCCTAAAGTAGTAAAAAGTAAGCTTGCAACTCTAAAGTCTGGGTTCCAGGGAATAATGGTACATTTGGAGCCCTGTTCTATGGGAGAGTAACGAGTATATTGGATATCTGGACCTCATTACAGGTCATGTCAGGTGTCAATGGTAGACTGTGTGTAATGGTTCCAGCACCATGTCACAGATGACCTTGAGCCCATTTTGTCAGTCAAGTGAACTTTATTTACCTTGTTTTGTTTCTGGCAGATGACTCAGAGGACCCACCCTGACAATAGCGTCTCTTCCCCACCCACCACATCATTATGAAAATAAAGTGGAAATGCTGCCTGCACTAATACAGGTCTGAGGCATTAGGTGCAAATGTCCTCTGTACTGGGAGTCCTGCTGTGCTCAGCAGTGAACACATGGACCCAAGAGTCCTTCCATATAACTGGTAACTCTGTTTTTGACCTAGTCACTTTTTTCCCCAGAACTGTGAGTGTGAAGTGTACAGAGTCTCTACATGGTCCAGCCCATAGCCACAAGGCAAATGTGGCTATTCAACTTTACCTTTAAAATAAACAAAATGAAATAAAGTTAAAAATCCAGTTCTGCAATCCATGCACTCAACAGCTACAAGTGGATCATGGTTCCGATAATGGAGAGCACAGATAAAGCCCATCATTGCAGAAAGTTCTGCAAAGCAGCTGGATGAATGGTGGGCAGGTCCCTTGCACAAGCAGACTTAGACAGTCCCTCCCTCACTTCCTCTCTGCTTCTCAGCCTGCTGGCTTAGCATTGCCTGAAAAATCAAAGAAGGGTGAGGGTCCAGATTTTCCAGGTAAGGGGATAGGGGTTTGTGGCGGGTATGTTCAATTTGATCTGGAAGGGACCCCTCTGTTGGCTGTTTCCTAAACCTCCCAGCAAACTCGCTCACAGAATACATTTCATGTTGGTTTCTGCTTCCTATCTTTTGCTGACTTTAGGCTGTAATCGGTTTTGGATGCTGAGTCCTACAAATTAGTGTCTTTTTCAATGGTGGCTACTTAGAAAATACTTACTTTATAAATTGGTGATTCCTGCACTGGCTGCAGAATTTAAAATAAAAACTTGACTGTTGCAGGAGTAGCATGGGGCGAGTGGGCAGAATTGGCCCTGGGAGAATTGCCGGGGAACATTGGGATTCATAAGGGTCACAGCTCAGCATATAGCCCCGAAGGTGGGACATGGGTCTGGATCAGAGGCTGTGCCAGCTGCCAGCTGAGGCCTTGTTACTGGATGATCTGCTCAGAGCTGCCTGCCCAGGACACCTTCCTCCTTAGGGACAGTCCCTGCCCTGAGGGTTCATTTGGAGTTGAGCTGCCTGTGAGGAGGAAGGAGAAGAGAAATGGTGCCCTTTGCAACTCTGCAGTCCAAGAGAAGCTGGGACTAAGACCAATGGATAATCAATTTAGGCAGAGAGAGGAGGACTTAGCCATGGAGGTCAGTACCTGTCAGAAAAAAGTCTCTTATCTTGCATCTAAATTATCATTGACAGCACAGCATTAAAGAGCCCATGAGCTGAAGGAGGGTCTTAAGAAATGCCCACAACCCTCTGTCTTCCTGTTGCTGGTATCCCGTCTTCTCTCCTAACATCATCAACAGCAGCATGCAGCCAAAGCTGATTTTCTAAAAAATCCTAGGATCTCTCTTCCTAGTTTACAGAAGTTGTTTCCTAACTCCCTGTTCTAAAGAATGAAGAAATAACCCTTCTATTGCTTCTCAGTCTTTTAGCTAAGATCAAGTATAGCATCTGTTCTTATCAGTTTAATATCTGATACATCCTCTTTCTGAGGACAATATATTAATGGATTTTTGGAACAGGGAGATGGAATAAGAGTTTGCTGCATCCACTCCACACATCGACCTGGTTTTGCAATACCTCCAGGAATTGTGTCTCCCTCCTTAAAATTAGGGTTGCTACCAAGCACCGAAGGCCTATGCTTATAATCCTAGCCACTCAGGAGACAGAGAACAGGAGGATCATGTTTTACAGCCAGCTGGGGCAAAATAGTTCATAAGACCCTATCTTTTAATAGCCAACACAAAAATGTCTCAAGTGGTAGAGCATGAGGACCTGAGTTCAAACCTCAGTATTGCCCAAAAATAGTAAGCCTTGTTTCAAAAGAAGTGTCTGCCTTTCTCTTGAAATCTGTAACGGATAGCGCATAGTCTGCTGGCCTTGTCCTTATTAGGAGCCCTCACGACCTCCAGCACAGTCCTGTGAAAGTTCTTCTAAACGTTTGTGGGCAAGGCATGACAGTGTACACCTGTAGTCCCAGAATTCTGGAGGCTGAGACAAAAGGATCATGAGTTTGAAGCCAAATGAGCTACATAGCAATTTCCAGGCCAACCTGAACTGCACAGTGAGTGCATGTCTTAAAGGAAATGCGGGTAACAGTGAAAACAAATATGTTGAAAATGAATGGTGCCATGTTTCTGTGTCACTACATGTTGGTTAATAAAGAAAGGATTGTCATTTCCTCAGATCAGACATGGGCTGGACGTAATGATCAACCAGAGAGAGGCAAGAAGGGGAAGATTATTTGTCACTTTCTTTAACAAGTATTTTTTGAGAACCATCCTCTGTCAGGTATGGCACTTGCCCTCAGGGGATAAAGGGAGCCACAAGACATATATGGTCCTCCCATCACAAAGCTTATCATCTACGGGAGACTGTAAATAATCTGACAAAGGAGCTTTCTATCCTACCTCGTGTCCTGGGGGAAATCATTGGAGTGCAATCAGAGTGAGTGTCAGTGAGCACAGGAGAGCCGGCATCACAGGTCAGAGTGGGTGGTAGGGCAGAGCAGGACGGGGAGAGGGGGAGTTGGAGACCTCTCTAGAGAGTGGAGGCCTGAGCAGAAATGAGCTGGGCACAGGACTGGAGTGGAACTGCTCCAGGGACAGCTGACAGATTCCTAAAGGCCTCAGAGTTGGAAGGAACTCAGAGGATTCTGGGAAAATCAAGGAAGCCAGTGTTAGTAAAGCCATAAGAGAGAGAAGCTCATATAGGGCCTTCTGGACCATTCCAAGGATTTTAATTATTTTCTACAGGCAAGATGAAATCACTAGGGAATTTAAACGAGAAAAAATGAAATAGAATTTTTGTTTTTTAAATTATGTCTGATGGTAGAGTAGGAAAGAAATTGAATTACAAATCTGTCACATTGCAAACAAATGGCAGTGAATTGCATCAGCATGAAGATGGAGAGAAATGGATAATTTTGAGGTTTTTGAAAGTGGAGATGATAGGGATTGGTGATGGGCTGATGCAAGTGAGGAAAGAAGAGGTATAGACAACTCCAAGACTGGCAATGCCATTCACTGAGACAGGAATCATGGCTGGGGACACAGGTCAATGTTCCGTTATGGCCAGCCTCTGTTTCAGATGCCCATGAAATGCCCAAATGAGAAGCTGAGAGCAACGAAACGTCGGGAAATCTGAGCTAGGTGTAGAGCACAGAGGACAGGTGAACTACATGACAGTGAGGCCTTCTAGGTAGAGAAGGGGAAGGAACCAGAACGAGTGCATTGGATGCACTGGAAGCATTTATGTTTGTGTAAAGGAAAAGAAGCAACCTGAAGATGAAGAGTTGGTGCAGTTTTGGGAAATGGAGCAGAGGAAACAAAGTAGCAAGTTTATGGCAGAAAAATAAATGTTGGCTACAGGAGTTTGGAATTCTAATTACTGTCCTGTCCATGATACAGTTATGTTTCTTTATCTACAGGAATTCAACCAGAATGGCAGCCCAGTACGAAGGTGTGAGTTCCTGCCCTGGCAAAGCAGGAACCAGCCATGGTGAGAGGTCCTGGCTTGAGGGGGGAGGCAGGCAGAGAGGAGTCCGGGTCCCCACTGTTCTGACAGCTGGTTCCTATCTGAACAGGAGCGAACTATTCCCAGACCCACCTCGTTTCTATTCATTTATCCTGCTCTTTCTCTTCTCTTGACCTTCTACACTTCCTCAAGATGTGGCCATAAAACTGAGCCAGGGAGATTAAAGGCCCTCTGATTGGTCCATTGGGCTCAGCACAGTTTCTTACTTCCGGCTTCCTGCAACTGCACACAGCACAACTGCTGGTTGTGATTCCGTTGTTGCTTTTCTGCCGCTTTCTAAAGCCAGGAGGAGGACTGGAGAGAAGGCAGGTGGGAGGAACTGATACCTCATCCAAGTCCTTAATTTCTACTGTGCTGTCATCTAAAGCCTGGCACACAGTCCTGCCAAATTCAAGGGCTGCATTTTGATAGGAGGACATACAAATCCACATCCCAAAGAAGCATGCCCAAGGGATAGAAATGTATACATTTGCAATCTTCCTCATTGCTTGCCATCCATACAGTGTGAACATTGGATAATTGTGTTAGGATTGCAACTGGCCTTTGGTGACTTTTCAATATACCTGACATGAATTTCCTAGTCCCTTCCCTATGGCCAAGGAGCCAAAGCCCCCAAGAGCTCCTTGGGATAAATTCTTTCACTGTGATGCTGAGTAAAGAACGTTGTGAGTTCTAACCCACATTGTTCTAGCTGATCTTAGTCTTTCTGTGTCTGGTGCACTTAGTCACAGAACTTTTGGAAATATACTTTCATCCCAGAATTCTGGTTCTCAGACATGTGGAAACTATGCCTTAAGGATAGCGATAGCTTCTATAACATCGATCCTGGCTTATTAATGGGAAAAAGAGAAGCTTCTTTTTTTTTATTATCATGTCATTGTTGTGCTAGAGTACACCGTGACATTTACAAACGTTCTTACATTATATCATAGTTTGGTTCCCCCCTCCATCATTCTCCTGAAAACCTCCTTTTTGAATATAAATTGGTAAAGTAAATCTCTCCCTGCAGATGCCCCAAAGTCAGATTTTGTGTTACTTCCTGGAGTACCTTATTGGATATCTATAGGTCCTCTGAAACCATTTTATTTCCTGCTCTGGGGGCTATCAAGTTACCAAAGTGTCAGAGTAAGGAGATTAAAGAAATCCTGAAAAGAGAGAGAGAGTGAAGGCAGAAGACCAAGGGACGTACAGTTGACTTTGTACTGCAAGAGGGACCTTAGGTCCAGAGGCTGACTAGACAGCCTGTGAGTGCATAGGCAACCCCAGCAGGGAAGCCCAGCAGCAGCGAGAGAGTAGGGTTTGGGGTGGAGGGACTGCATGGGAAACCATCGGAGGCAGACTCTTAACACAGTGGCTTTTGTTTCCTTGATGTCCCAGGGCTTGGAAACCAAGATACCAGAAATTCCCAACTGAGAATTGTCTTGGTGGGTAAAACTGGAGCAGGAAAAAGTGCGACAGGGAACAGCGTCCTCGGAGAGAAAGTATTTCCCTCTGGCATTAGTGCACAATCCATTACCAAGTGCTGTGACAAAAAGATGAGCGTGTGGAACGGAATAGAAATTGTTGTTGTCGACACACCTGGTGTTTTTGACACTGATCTACAGGATGCTGTCACACGCAAAGAGATTGCTCGCTGTGTCCTCCTGACCTCCCCAGGCCCTCACGCTCTGGTCTTGGTGGTCCCCCTGGGCCGCTTCACCAAGGAAGAGCATAAGGCCACAGAGATGATCCTGAATATGTTTGGAGACAGGGCTAGAAGATTCATGATTCTCTTATTCACCAGGAAAGATGACTTGGGCGACACTGATTTCCATGATTACGTAGGGGAAGATCCAGAAGGCATTCAAGAGCTGGTGGGCAAGTTCAGAGGTCGCTACTGTGTGTTCAACAACAGGGCAACAGGAGCTGAGCAGGAGGACCAGAGGGCACAGCTGCTCACCCTGGTGCAGTGCATCGTGAGGGAGAATGGTGGAAGATGCTACACCGACAAGATGTACCAAAAAGCTGAGGAGGAGATTCAGAAACAAATTCAGGTGATACAAGAAAATTACCAAGCCCAGCTAGAGAGAGAGAAAGCACAGATAAGAAAGAAGTATGAAGAGAAAATCAGAAAGCTGGAAGATGAGCTGGATCGGGAAAAGAGAAGGGCACAAATGGAGAGGGAATGCTCAGAAAGGGAGGCTCACTTTACTCAGAAGCAGCGAGACGCCAGAATGGAAGTTGAGGAGCAATATGGGATCCTTGAGTTAATCTTAAAAGCATGGGAAATTGCACGCTTTTTCATACAGCTGTTTAAAGAGTAACAAAATGTTTTTCTATACTTTCTGCATTTTCTGTGATGACTGTGCCCTAGAGGACACATTCATCAAAGTCTGAGTGCTATACCTTCTGTCTTTCAGGACTGGGGAGTACAGTTCCCATTGGCAGTCAATAGATAGCCTATTGATTTAGCAAAAGAGTGACAATTTCTCAATCTGTGAAACTGTGAAGTCAAAAGTATTGATGCTTGCTACCTGTAAAGTCTTCCTCAGAGACACAGGAAAGGAATGCAGAGCAGAGCAGAGTCGTCCAGGCTTTACTCAGCAGTTGTCCTCTATTTTCCTGGCAGATAGTCTCTGTCTGAAGCTTCTGCTCACTTATTTTTACTCTAAGGCAATAGCATATAGTTTGTTGGAAAGCTCAGTTATTTGAATAGGGAAATCTTATAGACAGACATGGCTTAGAATTCTTTCTGAATGAATGTCAAGTTGTTTACTTCATTTTCACAGAAGGACTCAAATAGTTCCTTATGTAACCCTTTGAAAAGCAGAAAGTTATCTGACAAACAGATCTCAGAACTCAACTAAGTAATAATCCCCAAAACCCAGGAGTGAAAGACAGCAATTCAGCAGATAAGACAGCAGTGTGTGGCATATTCAGGTGTCTCTGTGGAAACTCTCCGGCCAGCCTTAACTTATCCAGTTTGATGAGCAATCAGTCCTCTCATTTTCTTGAGAAATGAACTGCAACCCCACCTTCATCACCTCACCCCTCGCCTACTTAATGTTTGGTGGGTTTTCCTCACACTTCTGCTCCAACCCAACTGAATGGTTTGCTTGTTGCTACTGCAATAAAACTTTTAAATTTTAGATTGTTTCATGTTTGGAATCCATGTTGTTTATAATAATACAGAGATAATTTCATTTTTTAGCAAAAGTTGAAGATGATTTTAGAACTAGACTTAAGTCTACCCCATGACACCTTCCCTTTTCTTTTTCCCTGAAAGGTTGAGGCACATTGTCAATTCTTCATGGACCAAAGAGCACAATGTCCTTGGTTGTTCATTATGTGCTGGTGGAAATTTTGTGTGACCAAGCTTTCTAAGTCCTGTGAAGTTTTCTTGGTGTAAAAATCCTTTCAATACAAAGATACATTGTAGGAGATTCCAAGATGGCAGCTAGAGGGAGGAAGCAGAAAGCGAGCCTCCTATAGTGAAATCTTGGAGAGACGCTGGAGACACACCTTGCAGGCAAAACCACCGAGAAGAGGCAAAACTTTGACCCCTCCACACTCCAGCCAGCGCAGAGAATCTCCACTTCACATTAAACAGAGAAACCAGGAGAGCCCCTGGGCCGCCAACCGTCTGCGCCAAGATGGCTTGGGAAGATGCGGACCAGGTGAGCTTTGCAGTACCACAGTACTCCCACAGACAAGCCTGGGCCAGAGCAACATAGCCCCCTGGACAGACTGACCTCCACCCGGGGAAAAAAGAGAAACTGAGTAATAAGCAATAAGAACAATAAACACACGTGGGATAGAGGGTGGGGTGCCCTGAGTGCTGAAGATTGGGGGAAGGGAATCCTTCCCGGGACTGTAAATAAACTATAAATAAACAAGCTGGGTGGGAAGGAGCAGCTCTGGCAGGAGAGGGGGCGCGCGCCCAGCAACCAGGAGCGGGAAAGCTTGTGAGAGTGGTGGAGGAGGAAAACTCCACAGGAGAGGAGGGAAGACCCACTTCCCAAGTGAACTGTAAACAAACATGGCGGCTGGCAGGAGCAGCAGCACCACCCAGTAATCAGGAGCAGGAAAGCTTGTGAAAGTGGTGGTGGGAGGAAAACTGCACAGGAGAGGGGAGAAGACCCACTTCCCACATGAGCTGTAAACAGCCTGAGAAAGCGGGTGCAGTGTCACCTCCATCAGTGTGCTTGGAAAGGGGAAAGCTTGTAGCAGAGGCTCCCACACAGGAGAACTCTGAGCAAACAAAGCCTATAGGGCCAGGTGAGTGATAAGCTCACCCCTGAGATCTGCATAAATAACGCCGCCAGCAACAGCAGGCTGACAGCAGCGGGCAGGCAAGCCACAGCCGCAGATACCATTCTCAGAACTGTCTCCAGACTCTTTTTTTTTCTTTGCCTCCCTACCTTTGATGAGAGAACCAAATTACACCTGCATGCTGAAAAACTTACTGAAACTGTATTGCATTTGAACTTGGGACACTTGGTGGGTTTTTGTGTGTGTGTGTGTGTGTGTGTGTGTGTGTAGTTTTGTTCTACTTTATGCATCCCCTTTGATGAGACAACACAAAACAACATCTGAGGCACCATCTTCAGGATTGGAGACTGAGACAGATACCAAAATTATTAAGACTGAAACTTAATTGCATTTGAACTTGGAGGTTTTTTTGGTTTTTTGGTTTTTTTTTTTAATTTTCTATTTTTCATTTTATTTTAATTCATTTTTATATATAGAGATTTCTTTCATTTACTTATTTTTGATTTTTATTCTTATCTTTATTTTTTTATTTTTGATTTTCAATCCTCTCTCTGTCTCTCTAATGTCTGTTCAGCTTACTGTCAATTAGTACACTAAAGCTCCCTGTTTATACCTTTGAAACTTTCTTGTCTGATACCTTGTTCTGTTTTCTCCTTCTTGTCTGTGTATTGTTTTCCCCCTTTCTTTAACTTCTTGCTTTCCATCTCAGCTCACCCTTCCATTCTAAATATTACCATTGTTATTATTACAAGCTAGAAAATACTTAATTGCACACAGTACAGGGACAGTAACAACACCAAAGACAATGATGGGAAGACAGAAAAAACAGGGAAACCAGTTTCCCCACAGCAAAAAATTAGTACAGGAACCAGAGGGGAATGAAGAAAACAGATACTCAGATCCAGACTCCAACAAAATGAAGATAAACTATGCCAAAGGACCCAATGAAGCCCACAAGAATAATTTAAAAGAAGACATACTACAGGTACTCAATGAGAATTTTATAGAGATGATACTGGATAGGTCAACCAAAATGTACAGGAGACACTCAAGAAATTCCAAGACAACAAAAATAGAGAATTTGAAAAGCAAAAGAAGAAATAAAGGAAACCATAGAAGCACTGTATAAACACCAAAGTGAAACAGAGAACACAATGAATAAATGGATAAATGAACTCAGGACAAAAATAGACAACATTAAAGAGGAAACCACCCAGGATATGGAAAACCTCAGAAAAAAGAATGAAACAGAACTGCAAAACAAAACGGAAGGCCAATCCAGCAGAATAGAACAAACAGAAGACAGAATCTCAGAACTTGAAGATGAAATGGTAATTAAAGGAAAAACTGAAGAACTATTAATTAAACAACTCAAGACCTGTGAAAAGAAAATGCAAGAACTCACCGACTCCATCAAAAGACCAAACTTGAGAATCATGGGCATCGAAGAAGGAGAAGAGGTGCAAGCGAAGGGAATGCATAATATATTCAACAAAATAATAACAGAAAATTTCCCAAATCTAGAGAAAGATATTCCCATACAAATGCAAGAGGCCTCCAGGACACCAAACAGACCAGATCAAAATAGAACTACCCCATGACATATCATCATTAAAACAACAAGTTCAGAAACTAAGGAAAGAATATTGAAGGCTGTAAGAGAGAAAAAAAAATAACATACAAAGGTAAACCCATCAAAATCACAGCAGACTTCTCAACAGAAACATTAAAAGCAAGAAGAGCTGGGGAGATCTTCTGGGCACTGAATGAAAATAACTTCAACCCCAGGATACTCTACCCAGCAAAACTATCATTCAAAATAGATGGAGCAATAAAAGTCTTCCATGATAAGCAGAAACTAAAACAATATGTGACCACAAAGCCACCACTACAAAAGATTCTTCAAGGGATTCTGCACACAGAAAGTGAAACCATAACCATGAAAGGCAGGCAGCACCAAACCACAGGAAAAGAAAAAGCAAGACAGTAGAGAGTAACTCAACTTAGGTACACACAATCAAACCTTCAAACAACTAAGACAACTAAATGACAGGAATCACCACATACCTATCAGTACTAACACTTAATGTTAACGGACTTAATTCACCCATCAAAAGGCACCGCTTGACGAAATGGATTAAAAAGGAAGATCCAACAATTTGTTGCTTACAGGAGACCCATCTCACCGACAGAAATAAGCATAGGCTTAGGATGAAAGGCTGGAAGAAGATTTACCAAGCCAATGGCCCCGAAAACAGGCAGGAGTAGCAATACTTATCTCTGACAAAGTAGACTTCAAACCTACATTGATCAAACGAGATAAAGAAGGACATTCCATACTAATAAAAGGGGAAATAGACCAAAAGGAAATAATAATTATCAACCTGTATGCACCCAATGTCAACACACCCAATTTCATCAAACATACCCTGAAAGACCTAAAAGCATATATTAACTCCAACACAGTGGTTGTGGGAGACTTTAACACCCATTATCATCAATAGATAGGTCATCCAAACAAAAAATCAATAAAGAAATCCAAGATCTAAAATATACAATAGATCAAATGGACCTAGTTGATGTCTACAGAACATTTCATCCAACTTCTACACAATATACATTCTTCTCAGCAGCCCATGGAACCTTCTCCAAAATAGATCATATCCTAGGGCACAAAGCAAGCCTCAGCAAATATAAGAAAATAGAAATTATACCATGCATACTATCTGATCACAATGCAGTAAAAGTAGAACTCAACAACAAAAGTAAAGACAAAAAACATGCAAACAGCTGGAAACTAAATAACTCATTACTTAATGAAGAATGGATCATCGATGAAATAAAAGAGGAAATTAAAAAGTTCCTGGAAGTCAATGAAAATGAAAACACAACCTACCGGAACCTATGGGACACAGCAAGGCAGTCCTGAGAGGAAAGTTTATAGCCATGAGTGCATATATTAAAAGACTGAAAGATCCCAAATCAATGACCTAATGATACATCTCAAACTCCTAGAAAAACAAGAACAAGCAAATCCCAAAACAAATAGAAGGAGAGAAATAATAAAAATAAGAGCTGAAATCAATGAAATAGAAACCAAAAAAACCATACAAAGAATTAATGAAACAAAAAGTTGGTTCTTTGAAAAAATAAACAAGATCGATAGACCCCTGGCAAACCTGACTAAAATGAGGAGAGAAAAAACCCAAATTAGTAGAATCAGGAATGCAAAAGGGGAGATAACAACAAACACCATGGAAGTCCAGGAAATCATCAGAGACTACTTTGAGAACCTATATTCAAATAAATTTGAAAATCTTAAAGAAATGGACAGATTTCTAGATACATATGATCATCCAAAACTGAACCAAGAGGAAATTAATCACCTGAATAGACTATAACACAAAATGAAATTGAAGCAGCAATCAAGAGTCTCCCCAAAAAGAAAAGTCCAGGACCTGATGGATTCTCTGCTGAATTCTATCAGACCTTTAAAGAAGAACTGATACCAACCCTCCTTAAACTGTTCCACGAAATAGAAAGGGAAGGAAAACTGCCAAACACATTTTATGAAGCCAGTATTACACTTATCCCAAAACCAGGCAAAGACACCTCCAAAAATGAGAACTATAGGCCAATCTCCTTAATGAACATTGATGCAAAAATCCTCAACAAAATAATGGCAAAACCAATTCAACAACACATCAAAAAGATTATTCACCACGACCAAGTAGGCTTCATCCCAGGAATGCAGGGGTGGTTCAACATACGAAAATCAATAAACGTAATAAACCACATTAACAGAAGCAAAGACAAAAACCACTTGATCATCTCAATAGATGCAGAAAAAGCCTTTGAT